AGCCAAACAGACAGCATATCTCTTAGAAACTTTACCAAGTCAGAATCCATAGCTGTCTCAGGGAGACCAGTTATTTTCAGATTTTTTGCACTGGCTCAGATTTTCCATGTCATCAACTTTTGTTAGCAGTTGCTTTAGCTCTCCTCTCATCTTGGCTATCGCGATCTACTGAGTATGTGCTGAGTCATCCAGCATAGAGATCCTGTTCTCTCCTTCAGACAGATGAGTTTCGTTGGAGGAAACCCTCTCTGTTAAAGTGACCAGCGATTCTTGAACTGTGGATATAGAGCTACCAATAGTGTTGAGTGGTGTATCGATGCTGTCCAGTCGAGAGTCGATTAATCCAAGACAAGAGCTAATTTTTCGCATTTCAGTTAGCACTGGGTCGTTTTGGCTAGAGTCGCCATGTTCCTCAGGACACTTCTTTGCGGCGCCAGTGCGTTGAGGCCGTGGGGCATTAAAGAGCAGAAAACCTTGACTTTCTTGCACTTTAGACATGTCTTTAACACTTTAGCCATTGAATTAAAGACAAAAACATAATCTGTTTCTGGGATAAACTGATATATTACAGACAGTGGAAACTGAGCTCAGATCTAGGCAGCCATTCATTAGAATGTCACGTAACTAGATATATTTTTATTGTCTGTTTAAAAATAAATCATGTAGAACTTAACAAGGATGCAGTTACTTTTTTCATCTTACCATTTAGGGTTGTCATAGATCTGTGCTCTATAATAAACAACAATATGTAGTTAACTAGTAACACAAAATTGAATTCATTTTTTTACAGCACTAATACCACATTATTTCAGCACAACTGGTTCACTGTTTTTGGGATAATAATCCTAATATTATAAAACTCTATAATGGTTTAAAAGAATTGGGGTGATATATTGATTGTGAAGACAATATTCTGTAAGAGCTGTGTGTCTTTACCTTTTAAATTATAAATTATATTAAAAAAAAGAAAGAAAAAAAAAATGTTTCGATTACTTTACCATTTACTAACTTTTGCTGATGTTAGGTTTAGGAGTAGGTGTAGGTTTAGTGATAAAGTTAAGATTGGGGTTAGGTTTATGAGTAGGTGCAGATTTAGTGCTGAAATTAAGGTTGGGGTAAGGAGTAGATGTAGGTTTAGTGTTGGAGTTAGAGTTAGTGTTGGGTTTAGGAATAGGTGTAGATTTAGTTTTAAAGTCAAGGTTAGGGTTAGCTCTAGGTGTGTTTGAGTGTTAAGTATAAAGGTCAGGGTTAGGAATAGGTTCAGTGTTGAAGTTCAGTGTTGAAGTTGAGGTTAGGGTTAGTTTTAGGAGTAGGTGTAGGTTTAGTCTTCAAGTTCAGGTTAAGATTAGGTTTAGGTGTTTAGTGGTGAAGTTAAGGTTAGGGTTAGGAGCAGGTGCAGGTTTAGTGTTGAATGTAAGGTTAGGTTTAGATTTAAGAGTAGATGTAGGTTTATTGTTGAAGTTGAGGTTAGGGTTAGGTTTAGGAGTAGGTGTATGTTTAGTGTTGAAGTTAAGTATAGGTTTAGGTTTAGGAGTAGGTGTAGGTTTAGTTTTGAAGTTAAGGTTAAGGTTACGTTTAGGAATAGATGTAGGTGTAAGTTTAGGTTAGGTTTAAGATAAGATTTAGTAGAATCTTTCACACTCAGTTTTGTTTAGTTACATTTAGTAAACATTATGTTGAATGTTGTTTAAAGGCTGTTCTGATCATTTACAAGAAAAGGTGTTACTCTTTATCTACAGTGAGCTGTTTGCTTCTGTTCTGTTCCTCCACTGACTGTCAAACTCTTCTCTCTCTAAAACCGCAACACCTACTGCAGTTGTGCACAGCCAAACCACTTCAAGCACTTCATTTACAAGTAACTCGCAAACATCTGATTGTAAGCACAGCTCACTGACAGCAGCTGAAATTAAGATGTTACTGCTTTATTTTTGTTTATCTCCATGTATTTGAAACAAAACCTTAACAATATCACACAAAGATAAAATGTAAGTAACCTTATCTTACTGATGTTTCTGCAGACTGCACTCTGAAAAAAAATGTACATGGATCCTTTATCAAAGCCCATAGAGGAGGGTCAGTCCTGCTGCCCTGCCACTGCACTGACCTACACAAAAAACCTGAGAGATTCACCTGGAAGAAACTCAACAAAACCAGAAGCACACGGGAAGTGATATCCAGTGAGAGTGGTCAGTACAGAAACAGAACTCAGCTGTTTAATGGTCACTCTCCAGGAAATCTCTCTCTGCTCATATCAGACCTGACTGAGGAGGATGGAGGAGATTACAGGTGTTACATTAGAGCACATGAACACACAGACATCAGACTCACTGTTGAAGGTAAAACACTGTGGAAATCTGCATTTTTACATTTCAGGTCTTGAGTCTTTAATTTGTTGATAAACTTGAACAGTTGTTATGGTGAGACTGCATTGTATGGAATCCCTAAAGGTTAAGATAAAAAAAAAAAAGAAAAGAAATATTTAAGTACGTTTCCGAGTCTACTGAGCCCCTAAAGGTGTTTTTTTTTTTAATTAATACATTTTTTTATAGCACCAGTTATTATGTGATGAGCACGCAATAATATCACATGTGCACCAGATACTATGTGGTGAGCACCCAATACTATCAGGTGAAAAAAAAAAATACACCACATCCCTTTCAACAAAAAAACTTACTTAATGTTCCACTTTATTTTCTCTGCTTGTGTAGCATACCAAAAACAGCCCATGAAATATTTCTAATATTCCTTGTAAAATTTTGGCTAAAACCTCAAAGATATTTTACTAATTACTTAATATTGTGATGGCACCTTTGACCAGCTTAACCTTTGGGCACAAGGTAAACAAATACTAAGCATTAACATGCTAATTTTTAGCCAGTTAGCTCCACATTCTTTTTTCCCCACCTGGATCCCAAAAGGTAAAACTCGTGTAACATGCAGAGAGTTTGCCTTCTTTTTTTCTTTTTTCTTTTTTTTTTCCCACAGGGTGGAACTCAGGAACACACTTCCATTTATTTGTTTATTTATTTATTTAACCCTTCTAGGCTTACAGAATTTACTGAATTAAACATATTGCAAAAATACATATTAAAAAAGTGATCCTTGCAAAGGTTATGGTACATTTTATATTTCATGTTTTTTATTTCAGTATGTTGAACTAAATTTGGAGAAAATTGACATATTTAAACTTATTCCATGTAGGAGAAACTTATTCTTGCTTTGAAAATTAAAATGTCATTTGATCAGGGTGTTCAAACTTTTACATATGACTGTCTTATTAGCTCTGTTTATTATCTAGTGTCTCTGCATTTCTACTTCACCCCATCATTCTTTTCAGCTGCTTATTGTTAAACATTTACTAAAAACATTGTTTTATTTTTTTATTTATATAGTTTATTACTTCAGTGATGGACAGTCTGACAAAATGCACACTGTATACTTATATGCAAGTCCATGTGCTTGCTAGTAAACGTTCAAGTGGGTCTGATTTCTTAAACATGCAGAAGCACATTGAACAAAACCCCAGTAAACACATAATAAACAAATGACCACCAATGAACCAAAACATTATGACCGGTTATCACAGGTGAAGTGAAGAACGCTGATTATCTCGTAAAAATGGCGCCTGTCAAGGTCTGGGATATATTAGCAGATAAGCAAACAGTCGGTTCTTGTGGTCAAATGTTGGATGTGGGAGAAATGAGCTGGCGTTATTGTTATGACTGGATAAAGGGTCAGAGTATCTCCAAAAGGGCGATGCTTGTGTAGAGCTTCTGGTCAGCAGTGGTGAGTACCTACTGCCAGTGATCTGCAGAGGAACAAACTGGTGACAGGGTGTTTTGCACCCACGCCTCATTGACGCACGATGGCAATAAAAGCTATTCCTTCTGGTCCAAACCAACAGAAGTGCTACTATGGCACAATTCACAGATTTTTTAATGATGAAAGAACGAAAACCAGAACTGAATACCTGTGACCTCCGACCCCTTTGATGGCACTGCATTAAGAATCAGCATTGTTCTGTGATGGATATCACCACATGGGCTTGAGAATACTTTGATAAACCATAGTAAATAAACATTCTCCATTGCTTCATTACTGCAAAATCAAGTTAAGACTGTACTGTGCACTGTGGAATTCGAATGTCAACACCATCCAGAAACACTACCAACTTCTCTGGGGTTGAGCTCTCCTGAAACAGTCCAAATGTAATCCAGATAGTTACCAGCGCAAAGTTCAAAAGCCAAAGCCTATCACAATTAGTAGCTAAATTGCACATCTCTGAAGGCACCATTAACAGTGAACACATTTTAGTGCAACATATTTTGCCTTTTTAGGGCCTGTCCATCCTCATTTCAACATAGCTTTTTCTTTTTTTTTTGTTGAGGGGAGTTCAATTCAAAATTTCTACCCAAATTTGTTGTATCCAATATCCAATTCCACCCACTAGTTAGGACTCTCAAACTCTTCTCTCTCTACAGAGGGTCCAACTAAAACTACAACATCTACTGCTGTGGTCAATGTACACACCAGTCCAACCACTTCAACCACACGTTCTCAAACACCTGATAGTAAATACAGCACACTGACTGCAGCTGAAAGCAGCTGCAAGTGACAGCTTTGTTTATGTGCTCTGAAAATCTGAGTTTAATTCAATTCAGAATAGTTTTATCAGCATGACTGTGAAGTACAGTATCACTTATCATTTACAGCATCACAACAGTAGCAGTGAAGAATGAGAACAATAATGAAAACAGAAAAAGAAACTAACATGAATAATAAACATTAATTATTATAATCACAATATTACAGATTATTATTTATCAATTTGCAATTTTTAACATAAGTTGTGTAATGTTGGGGTAAGTAGAGTGAGGATGGGGCTATGTGGGGTGGGGGTCAGTCTCTCTCTCTCTCTCTCTCTCTCTCTCTCTCTCTCTCACACACACACACACACATATGTACAATATGTAAACTTTATCATTTCTTTTTTCACACAGATTATTCCGTATTTTCTTCATCATTAATCCTGTTGTTCACTTGCTGGGATACAGAGTAGACATCTACCAGAGAGGTACGCAAACACACACCGCACAAGTACACACCGCAAACACACACACACCACTGAAACAAAATGCCAGCTCTGTTTATGTTCTCTGAAAATTCTTCAATGTCCCATCATAACTCATCATATATTTTCACATGTCATTAATATGTAAAATAATACAATATCCCCATCATATCCCATTACACTTCCTATCACATCCATTGATATCTCATCATAGCCCAACTTATGTAATCTACATATCCGGTCAAGCCACAACTCACTAACATGTTCCTGGAATGCTTTTGTGACAAACAGGCATTGAGACAAGATGCATTATTACACTGAATAGCACGGCACAAAAGGAAAACTGGATTCGTTTGATCAGACAACTTTATTCCATTCCTAAGTGGTTCATTGTTGATGACCCTTGTATCCACTTTGTTGTTTTTTGCTTTACATCATTGGTAGCCAGTAATGGTCTTTGGTTGTTCAAGCCTATTATAGACAAAATCTGACCTTTAAAAAAAAAAACAAAAAAAACGTTTTTATCCACAAGACCTAAAAAAAATCCAGAAAACTCTTGAAATATTCACAAAAATAACTCATATTTTCCATATTCAATTGGACGCATAACTAATGAGAAATGCTGGTCTGCCTGATTTGTTCCTCACACTACAGTCACTTGTTAGAATGTACAGTGTGAGTGAATGTGAGTGAGTTTACCTAATAAACTGGCACTCAGTGCATATCTGTATATCCTATTCCCTACTGAGGAAGAAGCTGCTCCTGGTAGTTTAAGTCAAACTCTGAAGTGGTTTTAAAGGGTCAGTGTTGTGTATTAATTATCATTTGTGTTCCTTTACAGGATGAAGTGATGTACTCTACTGTAGTCCACAGTAAACCACCCACAACAACAACCACAGTTACTGACACTGGAGAAAAAGCAGAACATGCTATCATCAGATTAGTAACATAACTCCCCTCTTTCCAAAATGTATCCTGTTTTGTTTTATGCTTTTTACTTTTCTGTCTTTTTCTCTTTTCATATTTGCAAATGCATGTGTGTGTAAAAATTTTTTTTCTCATTTATTTGTGAAAACATATCTCCATCTTAATAAAATTGTTATATATTATTTATTATTATTATTATTATATTATTATTATTATTATTTTCATTTTTAATTTTGTATTTCATGCATAATTTAAACTGAAGTTGGACTGTTTAAATTAATTAAAAACAAATTCAACAAAATACAGGTAACTAACAAAATTAAACTTTTTTTTATACATGTTTTGCAAAAGCAGATAACTCCAACTCATTTCATTTCATGCCATTTCATGATTTAAACAAAGTGATGTATTGCATACAAATATCTCTATGTGCAATATTTAACATTTTTGCTATAGAGCAGTTTGGTACAGTGCAGAAATAACAGCCCATTAATAGTCAGTATTAACTGAAAATCCTAAAGCTGAATCTCACATGGCTCCCTGCTCCCTGTATAGTGCACTATATGTGTTATGAAATTTTGGCTTTTACCCTCAAATATTGCACTTGTCCAGTATGAACTTTACACACATTGCTGAATCCACAGTGCTTGTGAGACACCCTGTGCTCTGTTTAGCCGTTATTTTAAGACCTACGTGCTGCACTTTGTAGGGAGAAGGGAGCCGTTAGAATTTTTGCCTGAAACAGTTGCACCAGTGTTGCATAACCTGACATGGATACTGTGCGCTGATTCACTCAATAGATTTATTGGGCTCTACTCAAGAACAGCACTGTTGACTGTTTCTGCTGTTAAACGTGAACTTGAAATGCCTTGACAATGGAAAATAACGTTTTTTTGTGAAAAGACATATTTTGTGTGTTAAGAACTCACATCCATCAGCTGGTTTTTTTAAGGATGCTGTTTACTGTTTGTTATAAATAAGCTTTTCAAATAAAGCTTTTAATCAATTTTATTTTTGTTCTAATTTGTTGATCTACTGTGACACAATAAGATTACAAGCAAAATGCAGCTCAATAAAGAGACATTATTAAACAAATGCATTTTATCTCACACTTGAATATGTGTGACAGCTGTAAATAAAACCCTCTGTTCTGATTGGTCCTTGTATCTCAAGGAATTTTGATCCCAGCCTTTCGCATTCACCAGTAGCCCCGTTTCCTTTTAATGTTTTCCCTCATAGCCATAGCTTAGCACAGCGATCCTAGCCTTGCTTCTGTTAATTATTAGACAACTGTGTGTCGTTTAAATTTATGTAATTGGTAACACTTTACATTAAGGGTCTCTAATCAATCATTAAATATATAATAATCAACTATTAGTTTCCCATTATTCAGTTATTAGTTAACTCTTCATTAAGCATTAGCTATTACTTAATAATTGATTAAGCACTTATCAATTAGTAATTAAGTACACTGTTAGTTGATAAGTTAGTTTGTCGTTAGTTTGTGGCTTACTTACTCATTATCTGTGTGCTAATTGCTGCTTATTACATTGTTAATTAACTACTAAGTATTTTTCTTCATATAAAGAAGTAACGTGATAACTTACTAGCACTTATGTGTTAATCCCACTAATTATCTGTTAATTAACTTTCCATCACCTCCATATATTCAGCTGCTTCACTTTTCTCACTTTGGCTCTTGTTCATTAAAGATGCTTATGGTCACATCTGACCGTAAGATGAGTGCACACAAATTCACTGACGGTTTTGTTATTCATCACGTTCATCTTGGCATATCTGTACTCATATCTGGTAGGAGTGCATGTAAATTTGGGCATAAATGCTGGACATGTGGCTAATTAACCAAAACTATTATCAACATAATCTGTAATTGCAAAAATAAGAACAACAATAGAAAATTTCAATAATACTAATTTGTGTGCATGACAGTCCAGTACAAAAGTGGATGTACTTACTTTACATGCACATTGATATAAACAAGTGCGGCAACTATTCCATGTTCCATTTAAAGACACATTACACTGTGCTTTTGTTTCATACTACTGACGCACAAACACAGCTTCGGTCATACACTGCAATAATACAGCGTTTATTTTAGGGAATTAATTACACTAAACAATCACTCTACTATGTTAACAACACTGAGTATTTTGCTTTATTTCACATTTTATTTTTTTCCAGTTGTTTTCATTTTAATACTATTAAGTTTGGTCAGCAGGGGAGGAGTGCACTCACTGCTGGACATCAAACTCCACCCACGAGCACGGCCATTAGCTTTCATGCCAAACACTGTCGTTTTATTGGCTGGCTACTGAAACATCTGCATGAATTAGGGTGTGCTTCATGTAAATGATATGTAAATGAGGTGTTGGTCGGCTGGTTTCATGCACTGAAGTTGATTTATCATTTATGCTCAAATCTCCACTTGTTTCCACATCGTACAAAATTGTTATGAATCAGACGCAGAGCAGTTCACACCGTATAAAAGGCAAAAAATCTTGTTCTTTTTTACGTAACTTTGATGATTAATGGCCATTAGATCTTTACATTTTGCCCATTAATTACTTCTTAAATTCTACTTAATCAACCATTCATTGCTTCTTAAATTCCTCTTACTTCACCATTATTTACTGCTTTTGTGTCCCTCCAAGTAAAGTGACAACACAAAAGCTAAAATACAGCTGTTGTAGCTCAGAGTTTGAGTGTTACAGTTCAGTACTAAACACTCTGACATCGCGTCTGCAGGAAGTGAGTTTTACCCTGCTAATGCTTAAACCGGAAGTAGTCACAAATCTTGTGAAAAGGGCCCATTAATCATCAGTTACGTAAAAAAAGAACAAGTTTTTTTGCCTTTTATAAGGTATGAACTGCTCTGCGTCTGATTCATAGCAACTTTGTACAATGTATACAATCTGCTTGTTGTTAATAGTTTTGGTTAATTAGCCACATATCCAGCATTTATGCCCAAATTGACATGCACTCCTACCAGATATGAGTACAGATATGCCAAGATGAACGTGATGAATAACAAAACCGTCAGTGAATTTGTGTGCACTCATCTTACGGTCAGATGTGACCATAAGCAACTTTAATGAACCAAAGTGAGAAAAGTGAAGCAACTGAATATATGGAGGTGATGGAAAGTTAATTAACAGATAATTAGTGGGATTAACACATAAGTGCTAGTAAGTTATCACGTTACTTCTTTATATGAAGAAAAATACTTATTAGTTAATTAACAATGTAATAAGCAGCAATTAGCACACAGATAATGAGTAAGTAAGCCACAAACTAACGACAAACTAACCTATCAACTAACAGTGTACTTAATTACTAATTGATAAGTGCTTAATCAATTACTAAGTAATAGCTAATGCTTAATGAAGACTAATAACTGAATAATGGGAAACTAATAGTTGATTATTATATATTTAATGATTGATTAGCGACCCTTAATGTAAAGTGTTACCATGTAATTTAAGTGTTGAGTTAACAAGCTACTCATTCTCCTTACATTGTACTTCATTGCATTTTTTTTTTCTGAGTCACTCTCAGACGGGTGGGCTCCCTGACTAATCAGGCTGTGCACGTTCGTGTTTTGAGGGAGTAGTTTCAGAAATAGGGCTGAAAGTAGGGGGTGGATCTTTTTTCAAAAAGCTAGCTTACACTTGATGGTTTCCATAAATTAACCTACTCCACCTTTAAATTTGGGCAACCAGATGACATTGAAACATGCTGTGCACAGTTCTTCTGTATATTTGGTGTACTACCGGAGAGTTAGCTAACATGCAAAACTAAATTAGCTACTATCCACCAGCTTCAGTAACACATATCACAACGCGTCACACCCCACTTGACATTAACCCTTAGTTTATGTAACAATTAATGGCTTGTATAAGTAAATATGTTCAGTCATTAACTTTTTAAATTGTATATTCCAGACGCTAGATTTTCCCAGCCTTCACCACGAGCTCAAGAAAAAGCGTGTGTTAAAACCAGATGTGGAATTAACTCAGTCAGGAGTGTTTGCACTTAACTTGCTTAAAGAACACTGCCCCAGAGCTAATTCAGCACTGCGGGTGTTCAGTTAACACTTAAATCAACACCCATCAACACAAAATAATTTTCACTGGACAGTTAACACCAATTCACACTCCTGATTTTGCAGTGTACCTTGCTGAAACTTGTAAACATAAATTCTGCCTCATTTCAGAAATCTTCACCCAACTTTTGTGTTATTCTGCAATGTTTTGTGAATAATACCTACAACTACAACATCTACTGCAGTGGTCAGTGTACACACCAGACCAACCACTTCAACCACACACTCATCTCATTGTACAGAACACAGACTACAGCTGAAAGCAAAATGTCACAGCTTTGTCATGTATTTGTGGTGGTTGTGTACGCTCCCTGAAAGTTCTTCAAGTTCTATTTTGCACTGCACACAGAGGGACCAGATATACATTATGAAGTGAAAAAAAACTCAAAAGTATCAAATATCAAAAGTATTGGGACACCTACACATTACACCTACATAAGCATGACATCCCATTCTAAATCTACAGACATTAATATAGAGTCGATCCCCCTTTTGCAGCTATAACAGCTTTCACTCTTCTAAGATGTTGGAGAGTGTCTGAGGGAATTTTTGGCAATTCACCTAGAAGAGTATCTGTAAGGTCACACACTGATATTGGACGAGAGGGCCTGGCTCACAAACTCCATTCTAGTTAATCCCAAATGTGTTTGATGGTGTTGAGGTCAGAGTTCTGTGAGGGCCGATCAAGTTCTTCTACACTAAACTCACCCAGTCATGCCTTTATGCACAGGTGCTCAGTCAAGCTGGAACAGTAAAGGGCCTTCCCCAAACTGTTCACACAAAGTTGGAAGTGTAC